TACGTATGAGGTGATCGGTGATGGGGTGGTCGTGAGAAATTTATTTGTTTAATGATATTTGACTCTAAATAAAAATTAATAGAAATTTTTTGATAATTGAAAAAAGAATGAAAGTGTCAAATCTTCAAATTTAAAAAAAAAAGAAAAAAAAAGTATATTTTTAAGAAGAAAAAAAAGAATGTAAGAACTTTTTTGTTTCATATTTAAATTCATAGTTTTAATTTTATTATAATATTTTTTTTATAAAAAAAATAAAATTAAATATTACTGATTTAAATGTATAAACTAAATATACCTTAAAAAAATAAAAGCCACTCATAAGGGAATAACTTGTTCAATTTCAAAATTCGAAATTGAAAGCGAGAACAATTTTGAAAAAAAAAAAAAATAGTAGTCATAAATTCATAATAAATTAAATAAAACAAATAAAAAGGAGAAAAATCATAGTTTTGTGGGCCAACGTCATCAGTCAGTGGCAGTGCCATGGCCAATAGTAACAAAACACGTGAAAAATTCAGTTGGGCGGCTGAAAATGACTTTGGAGCCGGCTCCTCTATTTTTAAAATTTTCTTTTTATTGTATTTTTTTTTATTTTTTACTTTTACCCAGTAAAGAGAATAAAATTGAAACGTTCGCTGTTGGAATCTGAAATACGTTATTTGACCATCTTATACCAATTTTTGTTTCCCGTTTTATATTTCGTTTAGTGTTTCTTTCATCGGACGAAATTACCCCTAATAATCAGCACATATTACGGTTTATAAATGCTCACGTGATGTAGATACCAAACAGGGCACGTGACATTTGGTACTAATGGTAATGGGATTTAAATTTAATCCCCAAATTGCCACTGGTGGGCCACAAAAGAAAAAAAAAATCTCATTTTCATATTTTTTTAAATTACAGATTCTACTTATTTAAATACATGACTAATTAAAAGTACCTATTTTAAAAAACTATACCATTTCACTAATTTTAATCTAAAAAATAAACATATATGAGTTAATATTAAAGAGTATAAATCTATTTCAAGGGGTATTTTTAAAATTTTCTCAATTCTTTTTGAAGTCACTGGTAATAAGGTGATTCAGATTAGAATCCAACTAAAGGAACTTGAATTCCTAAATTGCCCTCATGTTGGATAAGCTAATCAATGTTTTTGTCCTCAATGAGAGAGGAGGAATCATTTCAGTTTTGGTTACTTGGCGACAAAAGCTGGCCAATGTCATTCGTTTGTATTAACCTTTTTCCACTCTTTGCTTACAAGGCATGTCCTGTCTCCAGAACTTGATGATTACTAAGGGCATTATGGTCGTCATGTAAAAATGTTGTTTTCCACATCGGGTATTACCAATCATGCTAAACGGATCGGCCACTTTATAAATTTAATATTTGAGTGTAAAAAATATTTTTTAATATAATATTATTTATTATGTTAAATTTCACATATATTAAAACATTTTTAATGTAATATTATAATAGATATGTCAATTGTAAATTTAATATTTAAGTGTTAAAAATACACTCCAATGCAATGTCATTTATTGTGCTAAATTTTTCATATATTATATTTTGTGGTAAATTTCTCACTAAGTATAGCATATAAAAAATTTAGTATTTTGATTGCTATTGGTTTAAATATTTAGTTTTTCATGTAATCATTGTAACTCTTACATTTTGTAATTATTTTAAACATAAAAGTTTACTTTTATAACTTTCAAAGCTTAATAATTATAAAAAAAATATAGATTTAACATTTCAAATAGCATAATGCATTTGAATAAAAATGAAAAATAACATACCATACCACACTTTTTGATGGTAAATATACAATTGGCATAATTTTTGCATTTGAGATGGTCTTATACTTTGTGAAAAATTTCTCACTAAGTATAACATATAAGAAATTTGACATTTGATTGCTATTGGTTAACATATTTACTTTTTCATATAATCATTGTAACTTTTATATTTTTTTAATTATTTTAAAAATAAAAGTTTATTTTTACAACTTTCAAAACATAATGATTATGAAAATAAAAGTATATTTAACATTTTAAATAACATTACGCATTAGAGTAAAAATAAAAATAATATATCATATCATATTTTATTAATGCTAAATATACAATTAGCATAAATATTTATATTGAAGATGATCTTAAGGCGCCAAATAAGATTAAAAAAAAAAATAGCTAATCGTATTTGAATCTTATCAATGCATCCCAAACTTTTCTTTTGTTGGTAGTAAGATAGGCTAAAAAAATTTAAAATTTTGATATTTTAGACTATAATTCTGGTTCATTAATCGACACACATTATTGAATGAACCATATCTGTATGGCAAGGATTGTGAAGTTTAAGGTCTTAAATACAAAAATTAATAGTTTTAGTTTAAAATTCAAATTATAAACAGAAAGTTCAAGAGGGGGTGCAATTTATCAAAAAAGAAAAAAGAAAGAAAAAAGGAAACTTTGTGAAGTATAATGATGGATTAATAGCTCAAGCATTGTGATAATGCACTGCAATGAGAGTAGCTATAAGTTACCAAAAATAGATTTTGCTCATTATGCCAGTGATTATGGCGAGGCAAATGGTTGATTGCCATTTTTAAGCTAATGATGTTAAGTTTTTTTTTTTTTTTTGCAAAATAGAAATATGACCATTTCTTCTTGTTTTTGATACGTATCAAATTAAGGTGCGAAAAGATAATGCGTGATAATGCCATTTTAACAAGAATAAATGTTATTTTTGTACCATCAAGTTTAGAAATTTTTTTCACGAAAAGAGGACAAGAGGAAAGTTTCACCACAGAAAAATATATATAGTTGATTCTACAATACATTGCGTTTTGTGGCGTCTTCATGAGTTGATGAAATGTGCCAATATGGAAGATGACAAGGCATAAATGTTTCAATAAAGAGACAAATAATCAATGCAGTAACAATTTTAGTGTTCTTATTGTATATATCGGAGATAATATTTCTTCACATATACGCAATATTTGCAGTTGAAAAATCGTGAGGGGATATTCTAATTATTTTTGCAGCTTAAGGCCATTTATTATTGTAGGGGTTAGCTTTTTTAGCCTGTGAAATGGCACTTTCAACTATATAAAGGAATCAAATAAATGGCTGTAAATGTTAATGAGAGGTTGTTACATTTATCCCTTTACGGCCTTACTTTTATTTATCATTAATTTTATTAGGTTTATTTCGTTTCAATTAGTAAATCAACTTTTTCATATGAGATTAAAGAGCTAAGCTATCCAAAACATGCATAAAGCATTTTTGTGAATTTGGTAGAACAACTAAAAGGAATTGGGCAATAATATGTCTTGGAGCATGTGTATGCTTTTATCGAAACCAATTGAAATAAAGTTGACACATGAGTACAAGATGCTAGGCAATTATTACTAAATTTGAAACTAAATTGTGCGAAAATTTTGAGTTCTAATGTTTGATTAAATTCTAAGCAATCATGCAAGATATTTAACCCAAGTTAAGCATCGTTAAGTGGAATATATATAAATATATATACATATATATTTCTATATTTTAAAGTGACTACAGGGTAACTATTAAAAATTCGTATATATATATATATAAATATAAATTTGATGATGTGTCGTGATAAGAATTTAATTTCATTAATTGACATTAATTTTATTATCAACTAATCAATTTATTACAACCATAAGATTAATATATTATGACTAAAATAATAATGTCAATTAATTTATAAATATTTGAATAACCATTAAAATCACGCTCATATATATATATATATATATACACACACAAATAAGCAAAAAAATAAATAGGAAACAAATCAATCCTTCTCGATCATTCTACAAAAAAGTAAATGCTGTGAATCTCTGAGATCATTCTCGCAAGAATTGTCAACTTATATGTACTTGGAAATTCTAGTTTTTTAATTAGCAAAGAATGTGCCAAGATTGCCGATTGACTAAACGTATTGCAATAGCCAACAGCTAATACATGCAACGTCGTAGTTGTCAACACTGTACGTTGTTGTGTTAACTTTGCAATACTTGGATGAGGCAATACAAATGAGTAATCCAAAGCTCTAGAGACGAGGGTTACAACAAATACACAACGTTTAGAAGATTAATTAGAGTATAATAATAAGGAAAATTGTGTCCAAAGGGTAACGGTTAATTAAAAGCAAAAAAAAAAGAAAAATTTTCCACCAATACGATGCAATTTATAATAATTAGATCAAATTAAGGTATAGTTTTTAACTACGATCAAATCGGAATCATAATAAGTTAAATAAAGTACAACATCTCAACATAGTATGATGAAATTTAAAATGAAATCCAAAATATTTTCTTAATAATAATCCATATTTTTTTTAATGGATAATCCATTTAAGTTGAGTTTTGTTTTGTAAAGCGGGAAACAAATTGAGGTGGAGATGATAATCAAAACCAAAACGAGCGGCGATCAACGCGGGTGTGTGTGTGTGGTGAATTGCGTAAATTAGTCAAAAGAAATGGCCCAAACCCTTCACAAAGAAGAAAAAGTAAAAGAGGCCAAAGAAAAAAAAAAAAAACCAGAAAGGTGGCAGTTTCCTAGGTCTTAACGAATCTAAAAATTACAACGGGACAAATCGCACTCCATTAATTTTAAAAAATAAAAAATATATATATTTTTTTCACTCCTCTAAAAATTCGAAAAGATTCAAAACGGTGAAAGAATTACAAAAAATTCGGTGGCAGTCTGTGGATATGGTCCGACTCCGACCTGGCCTTCCATATGTACCAAACCTTGGACAGAGAAAAATCCAAGTCATCTTTTTAAAAAAGAGATAATAAGGGGCAGTCCTTGTAATTCCAGTCCAAATTTTGCGTTACACATGTATAACTTTTTTAAATTAAAAATCATCTTGAAACGTATTTTTGGGAAGAAAGTATGAAATACACTAATACAATTGGTGTATGTATTTATATTTAGAGAGAGAAAAAGGTGAAAGAAAAAAAAACAAATTATGAGGGTGAGAGAGAGAGAGAGAGAGAGAGAGAGACGAGAAAGAAACGGGCACTTTTAGTATAGGGCCACGGACGCTTTCAGCCCTCATTCAATGCTTTACCGAACTCACCACCCCTTTTTCTTCCATTTCCACCCCTTTACTCGTTCTTCTTCTTCATTCCCTTCTTCTTCTTCTTCTTATTCTTCTTCTTCTCCTTCTTCCTCTAAACCCTCCACCACTCCTTCTCCTCTCTCTACGCAGGTATGTTTATACTTTTGTTTTTTTTTTGGTCCCAAAGTTTCAAACTTTTTCATTTTTAGGACCCAAAGTTTCAAACTTTGCCTTGAAAGTTAAACTGGGTATTTATTCTTTTTTATTTTTTGAAGGTTGAAACGGAAATGGAATGCGTTGAAGCGGCTTTGAAGACAAGTTTTAGGAAGGAGATGGGCGTGAGACAGAGCCCACACGTGGTTTTTGACGATTTGTTGGACGTGAACGTGCAAAATGTCGTCGACTTCTCCGTCGACGACCTCCTTAACTTTTCCGACGACGACGGTTTCGTTGTCGTCGAGGAACAAGACCAAGACGGCGACAAAGACTTATCTTCCCCTTCGCAAGAACAAAACCAACCGGCAGAGGAAGAAGCCATAAACGACAACAACAACCCAAGTACCAGTTTGTTTGTGTCGTCCGTACCCACCACCGAACTCACCCTTCCGGTAACATTTTTTTTTTGTTTTTATTTGCTCCCTACAAAAGAATAAAAAAAGGAACGTTTTTTTTTTTTCGGGGGTGTGGTTTGTTGTTATTGAGGAAAGGTGGGATTTTTATTACACAGGCGGAGGAGTTGGAGAACCTGGAATGGCTATCCCATTTCGTCGAGGAATCCTTCTCGGAATTCTCGACCTCGTACCTCGCCGGAGTTTCGGCGGAGAAGCCGCCCGAGGACGAAACCTTTCTTCCTGAACCGAAACGTTTCGCTCCGGAGAAACCCTGTTTCACCACTCCCATTCCGGCCAAGGCCAGAAGCAAGCGGCCTCGGACCGGCGGTCGGGTCTGGTCCCTCGGTTCGCCGTCCTTCATCGAGTCGTCCTCGAGCTCGACGACCTCCTCGTCGTCTTCCTCGTCTCCGACGAGCCCTTGGCTCATATACGCGACGCATAGCCACGAACCGGCCTGTTCAGTGCAAAAACCGGCTCCAAAGAAGGCGAAGAAGAGACAGGCGGTCGAGTCTTTCGGCTCCGGTTCCGGTCCGGCTTCCGCCCAACCGCCCCGCCGGTGCAGCCACTGCGGCGTTCAGAAGACCCCGCAGTGGCGAACCGGGCCTCTCGGGGCCAAGACGCTTTGCAACGCTTGTGGGGTCCGGTTCAAGTCTGGTCGGCTTTTGCCCGAGTACCGGCCCGCTTGTAGCCCGACTTTCTCGAGCGATTTGCACTCGAACCACCACCGGAAAGTGCTTGAAATGCGGCGGAAGAAGGAAAGCGTGACTCTGCCACCTGAGTCCGTTTTGGGCCCTTCGGTCGTGTCAAGTTTTTGAAGAATTAATTATTATTAGAATTAGCCAAAAAAAAAAAAAACTTTAGTCTAGTAGTTGTAATTTAGAAAAATAGGGAATGAGAGAGAAAAGAGAGATACGGGAATGAACCCGGTTCGAACCGGTTTGAGTTAGTGTACATTCTTTTTCCACGGTGGGTGGGGTAGGTTTCCTAGGCGTGTAACTGATTAGGAAGACTCATATGTACTTTTTTTTCCCTCTAATTTATTTTTTTTTTACTTTACATTTGGCTTTTTTTTTTCTCTTTTTTTAAAAATAAAAAAATCGTAATTGGTTTATTTATTTTAAGTTATTTTACATTTTATTTTTTATTTTTTTTTGAGTGGTTTTGAAAATGTCAAAAAAATTTCCCACCCTATATATCTTTGGTTGCCGTTGGAAATGGAAGGCACAAACATGATGTCATGAATGAATAATACTATGTGCGATGGCGTTGGGAGCATGCCCTCCACGGTTTCTCCACCGTTGATGAGAAATGACGAGGGGAATCCAACGGTTGGTGGGGGTTTTTTTTTTTCTTTGAGGTTTTTGAGTGTGGATTTGCTGGCATTTTCTAATGTTCAAATTCCAATGTGGAGGAATTTTAGCCGAATAACGGAGAGCTTGGATTTTGGGTGTCCTTTTTGTTGGCCTTTTATCGATGCCCTTGTAGTTGTTAGATTTTTTCGTACTTTGGCCATTTGACGTTTGGACTTTACTCCCAATTCTTGAAAACAACAAAGAGAAAAAGATGAATGGGAAAAAACTAGTGAGTTAATGTTGTAGGAGTTTTGTGAGGTTACATTTGAGTTTAAAATTTAAATTTTGTTATAATAAAAAGTTTTCAGTAACAGTCACATTTAATTTTTTTTGTTACAATAAAAAATTTTCACATAAAATTACATATTAACTCGAATTAAAAACTAAAATCAACGAACTAAACGAGTCTACGTCGATTTTAGTTTTCATCTTTTCTTTGCAAAAGGGCAAGAGCCATATATTTTTATGATATTTCCATGTAGGACCGAAAAAAATAAATTATTAGTTGGTCTTTGTTTCTCAGCCATTAAATATAAATTAATTACCTTTAAATATAAATTAATAACTTACTGTGCTCTGTATATATAGACATATATTTTATTTATTTTGATGTTATTTTAATCCCATTTAATGGTTAGAATTGTGCATTATCAACCTTTAAATATAAATTAATAACCTACTGTGCTGTGTGTATATATATATATATATATATAGACATATATTTTATTTATTTTGATGTTATTTTAATCCCATTTAATGGTTAGAATTGTGCATTATCGGTAGGACATCTAACTTTATGATCCATATTTTTATTTTTATGTTTTGGTGGGGTTTTTAAAATTTGTGTTACTAGATAGTAGGTGGCATCTTTTACTATAACTTAACTCTCTTAGCTAATGTCAGGCTCGTTATCAATATAGCATGTGAACTGAAACATTTATGAAGTGCTTCCTATTTAAGAATGAATTTTCAGGATATACAAGCTTTGTGTTTAGCACATTTGTTCCCCCTTTTTTTTTTTTTTTTGAAGGGCTTTCTCTTTTACTTTTAATCCCTTTCTACACAACCCATTACTTCTGCAGAAATATCACTTTTGGACCATCCTAAAGGATGAAACTGCAAGTTTTCAAGAAATGCTTAGGATTTTGTTCCTTCACACACACACACACACACACACACAAAACCTTCAATACAAGAAGCTTAGGTCAAAATCCTAGAAGACATTTAGTTTATGTATTCATAATTATTCTCGTTTTACATGTATGTTTTGTGAGAGAAAAATACCGTAGAAAACCATGAATCATGATTCAGAATTAGGGATGAATATAGAAATTATACAACATATCATCTTTAACTTATGATGTGATGCAATTCATAATGGAAATATTGCTCAAAAACAATGCGCATGCCGTATGTCGCCATTTGTCTAATAATTATTGTAAGTAGACTTGGATATCGGCTCATATTGGCTTGTTGAGTCAAATGCAACTATACATCAAGTTATTTATATCTATGCACCACCAGTTTGTGGTTGAAATTGAATTAGCATTCAATTAAAGACCAAAAATTAGTATCCAATTGTGTCTTAAGAAAAAACGCTAAAAGTGCAAGAAAGTGACAAACTCAATTTCTCCTTAGGGCAATCGTAATCATATATTGTAAAATTTTGAGCGCTACCCAAGTTTTATTTCTTCTTAGGGAAATTGTAATTAATAGTCTTGTTATGATATTTTTTTTTGGTAGTAAATAGCTTATTTACTACACTTGTTAATAAATTGTTTCTTACATCTAAAAGAAGATTATAAGGGTAAAAGAAAAATAAGTATGCTAAGTAAAAAACCAATAAACATTATGTAAATAAAAAGTAATAAATAGTGACAAATATAATTTGAGACTTAAAAAGAATAAATTTGAATTTATTAGGGTTTTTATTATGGTGTAAATTTGAGTTATAAATTCCGGATTTATCAAATTTTATTATGAGATAAATCCGTTAAATCTTGAATTTGCTAAATTTAATCATAGAATAAAATCAGGATTTTTCAAATTTGGTCATATGGTAAACCCAGTAAATTTGGGATTTATTTCTACTTAATAGCTTACTAAAACATTCTTCCATTTTTTTTTGTTTTCCAAAAAAAGAAAAGAAGACCATTTACTTTACCTTCTTTCTTGTTCTTATCCTAGTTGTTACGAATTGTAACTTATCATTGAGGTAGAACTTGAAAGTCAAAAGAAAGCAAATTTCTATTACAATTTGCATTAAAAAGGAGAGCCGCTAGCCAAAATTAGCTACACCATAATTACCACTTTATAATTTATTAAGCTAGTGTTAGGAAAACTTTGACATACAATGATTAATTAACCTTGGTTATTGAATAATAATAATAATAATAATAATAATAATAATATTATTATTATTAATAAAAAACTATATGCTCACACAATCACGTGACTCTGCGTAAAGCCGCGGGTACGCTAGCACACGTGCTTGCCCATAGGGATTTGAATTTGATATATATATATATATATATATATATATATAGATATATATTTCAGGTCTCTACCGATGTACCAAAACTAAACCAAACCCAAATGCCCAAACACATAAGAAATTCAAAATGTGGCCAAAATTTCATGTTTGCCCCACCCAATACCAAAATGATGTTGAGTGGCTATTACGTGATGGGCATTTCTCACCAGTTCCAACCACTCTCCAACGTCCATGATAGTTCAAAATCAACAATAATAGTTAAGAGAGCTTTTGGCTAGCTTAACTTTGTCCCCTTCTTTCATGCAAACCATTTTTACTTGGTAATTACTTTTGAGTCAAATCATCAAGGAAAAACTAAACTTATATTTTTGTTTTGGGAGGCAGAATAAGTTATACATAATTCTCACTCTCTCTCCTTGGTAAGGCCATCAAACAACAATGTCAAATTAAGAAAACATTGTAGTATAGAGGTGAAGTTGCTAACTTAATTACTAGAACTTAATTTGATAAAGAAAGGTTGACATTTTGGGTCAGCGGAAAAGAAAAATGCTAGCAATACTCTTTCTGTCACTATCTTCATCATTATTTCCACTTAATATTTGACATGTAGACTATACTAGCATAATATATTATTATTTAAATAAAAAATGAGATAGTGTAGTCTACGTGTCAAATAATAAGTAGAGAGAGTGACAAATAAAGTGATAAAAAGAGTGTCTCTAACATTTCTCGGCCGAAAAAGCTCTCATTCTCTCTCTCCATCATGTACAGGGTGGTAGTAACTCTAGTGGGTGAGTATAGTGAGTAGTGATTGTGCCCACATTCACCCAACTTTTTGTTTTTGACCAATATGTGTTGCGCTGATGATCTCTTTCGGCTCCACTTTCTTAGACCTTTGTAAGCCTAAACAGCTTCGGATTATACATGATTCGACTAATGGACAAAGCCCTATCCGTATTGAGGGTCCTTATGTTCTTCTTTTAAGGCCCTTTTTGGCTCCAAATTGACACAACTGATTTGATAGCATTGTCTGTGGAGCTAGTTGTAGTCATTGTGGAAGTAATGTGTTTTCGATCGTAATCCATTGGTTGGTTCCACCAATGAGCTATAACTTGGGTTTCATAATTAAAACAGTTAGCTAATTGCTCAACTGGGCTTGAAGTTTTCTTATAGAATTACAAAGGCCTTGGTTGAGTTCGCGAATTTTTAAGTTTTCAATTTGAGTTGATATGTGATTTTACGTGAGAGTTTTTTATTGTAGTAAAAAAGTTAGATGTGATTTTTTGTAAGAGCTTTTAACTGTAGTAAAACTGAAAATGAAAACTCAAATTGGTGAAATGAACGAGGCGTATACACACATGTTTGTCTTTGCTTTAAATTGGTTCCTTTTTGTGTTCACCATAGGAACAACAAGTTGACATAATGCTGTTTATCACAATAACTTGTATGTGACGGCTTTCGGATTAAGTAAAGTTTACACTTTTGGGGTGATTAATTTTGAGGTAAGATGGTAAAAAGATACTCCTATGATACATTTTTGAACGGTCAGATCTTGATGATAAAAATAGGTTAAATTATTTTATAATTTTTTTTAATCTAATGCAATTCTCATGATGTGATCTCTAATAGTTTAGAATTGCATCTAACTATTATGATTTTTTTTCCAATCCCTACAGAAAAAATAAATTATCCCATAAAAAAAGGAAATAAAAGATATTGCAAATTTGATGGAGGACCAATTACAAGTTTTGAAACTATATATGAAGTATCAAGCCCACTGCAACATGGGTTCTGTGCAATGAGGAGGCCATATAAAAGGGCGCCTAAAGTATGGTTTTTGAATGTATAGCCCACCTTGAATAAAAACAAGAAAGAAAAAAAAAACATAAAAGAATAATCTTATTGAAACAAGAAAGAACAAAGAAACAAAACACCAATAGCAAAGCGAAGCAGAAATAAAGAGAACAAAACAATCTGACAATTCGGCAAAAGCCCACCTTAAATTAGGAAAAAGCCTTCCGACCAATTTTAGGTCAATTTTATATAAAAAAGATCTCGTTTATTTTACCGATTTGAGTTTTGTTACAATAAGAAACTCTCATAAACAATCACATTTAACTTTTTTACTACAGTAAAAAACTCTTACATAAAGTTATATCTCAATTCAAATTAAAAACTCGAATCAGCGAAGTAAACGAGTAGAAAGTAAC